GCCTATTCAATTTTTTAAAATCTGTAAATGTGGCCAAAGAAATTTCAAGACATTCTGCCAGTCTTCTTAAGGAATCTTCCCAAATTGTGCGTCACTACCTTCTGGTATTCCTAGTCCTGGGAAACTCCACTGAATTTTGCTCAGAACTTCCCTATAAAAAGCACCCGGCATAGCCTTCCTATGACTCAGCCATTTGGTTTAATTTAAACACATAATGAAATGTTTGACAGCAATTACAGGAGACAGTTAATTCATAAGAGACAATTACTCATCAGACTCACTGTATAGCTGTGAAGACTGGGAAAAATGAAAATCCCACAAAGCCTAGAAAAGTGGCAAAGAGGCACTTGGCAAATGAACTGCTGCTCAGTTGTCAGGACTTTGTATGAAATATTAATAAGGGCCATTGTCTGAACACTCACACGGGGCAGCATGCACCTCCTCAGCCAGTAATTATATAACAGAAAGCAAGAATTCTCTCATTAGTAAGTGAACATTCACTTTGGGCTTGTGATGAAAGCCTTCTGTACAAGATGGCCAGATTTATTTGGTTCTTTGTTCAGGCTCACAGTCCTGCCAAAGTGGTCCCTGGTCACGTGGTCTTTAAAGTCCCCATTCTGATTCATCCAAGGCTGTGGGTGTGGCAAAGTAAAACGCCCTGCAGGATACCTGGCTGGAGTCTGCCTACCCATATACACACTACACAGAATATATGTCAAGAGACACCTGGATACCACTGTGTTCAGGGTTAAGAGGAATGTAATAAAGATTAAAACATGGGGTATGTAACCACATTTCCAAAAGAAGAGGTCTTGTCAAATTCCAGCTTCCCTCAGATATCTGACCTACAGTTATCCCCCTGGAAATGTTGACTTTTTTCATGTTTAAATGGTTAAAACTTTTATTCTGTAAACAGAAAATAGAATATGGGGCATAAAACTGTTTCAGCATAAAAATAATAGCCATTCATGCTGGCGGTCAATTAAATTTGGGTCCTTAAGTACATTTCTAATGAACTACCATGAACAATTGTTTTGTCTTCGTCCTGTTAATTTTACACACCCCACTGGTGCACACAACTCTTTTTCTCCCAAATGATCTTCCCCTGACCCATCCCTAATGATTCAGGCCTTCTTTTCCTTGCCAATTTGCTGACATAAACAGTAGAGAAATGCCATTAGGAAAGGCCATCTCATAGTTTCTAGATGCCTCTTCCTTCCCCTGTTTGTAGGCCACCCCCAACTCATCTAACCCCCCAAAACTCCAGCAAACCACACCTAGTCCTGGAGTGGTGAGCTTTCTCTAGAGTCCCCATGGGACTCTACTGCTGGGGCAGATGAAGAGCGTTTCAGAAATGGGACATTAAATTGTGTGTCAGGGAATATTGTGTTCTGTTAAACTTCTAAAGTATGTAATTATTTAAGACTCCAGAGAAGGTCAACTTTAGAGTTTTGGAAGCAGTACCTTGAGATTCCATGGCTGTCTGTTCAGTTTCCCTTTGAAAAGCCACCATTTTAGCTAAGAAATTCAAGAAAGAATACTTTACCCCTTGCCACATCCCTAGAATTAAGAATCCAATGACATTTTTTTTTTTTTTTTTGCATTCTGAAAGGGTTCCTTGGCAAAAGACCAAATAAAGCAAGCAAGGTGTGGAAACTAACTAGGAAAAGAATGGTGATGTCTTCATCTGTGTGTCAAAGGTAGGCCAGTTTGACCCTGAAGAAAATATGGGTTAACATTACTGGTTGAGGAGTGGCTGCATTTTTTTCTCAGTGGGTTATTATTGACATTATAATTACAGAGTCAGTTCTGTACCCCAGAATACAGACTTCCATGTAAGACTCTTACTACCATTCTATGAGGGGGGACCCAAAATAAACCCAGAATCATATACTGGAGGGTAAGCCCCTTGTAGTACAGGCTTCCTCCACTAAGTGAGTGCTCTAGGAACCCATCTGTATCAGTGTACCAGATGGCATTGTTGGGAGAGGCTGTGTTCGGCTTCAGTGAATTTTTTTTGAAGACTCTTTCAACATGTTTGCCCATTTCATGATGGGTGATTTATGAGCACACTTGTCCACACCACGCTGGGTGTTCAGCAGTTTTTGATCAAAAATAGCATGAACCCTGTGCCCCACCCTCCCTATTCACCATATGTCACCCTGAGCAACTTTTTTTTGTTTCTCTGATGAAAAAAGTCCTCAAAGGGAAACATTTTGTTGATTTGGAAGAGGTGAAACAAAACAAATAGCAGAAGAACTGAAAAGCATCAAAAACTACGAGGGATTTGGGAAGAGGGAGGGAACTGGAGGACCCAGAGAAAACCCACGTAGATGTGGGAAAAACTGGCAAACTCCACACAGACCCTGGCTGGGGATGAGTTTTTTTCCCCTCATCAATTTTACAATGAAACATCATTGAATGAAACAAGTATTTGAGGGTTTGCTGTTACATTAATCACCAAATAGCTTTTGATGATCACCTACAGATACCACTATGCAAATATGTTACTATGTAACTCAAAATAAGTAAGATTTAAAAATGTATGCAATAGAATATCCCTTTATTCAAATGTTACTAAAATTCCTGTTTACAATGCAATGTAAGTGTTCATATAAGTATATAAAATATATTTATATAACGATATATTTTTAAAGTTTTAGTAATTAAAGAGGGCTTCATTGATCTGTCAATTTTAGCTTTTCTCTCTCTGACAGGGTGAAATAGAATTATTCCATTTGTTTGCTAGTGCACAAAGGTCCCATATATCTTTCTGAAATGCTTCTGAGTTAAATGTACTACTTAACCACCAAGCACCATATCTGGGCCTGACACAGGTAAGCTACTCCATCAGTCTACTGACTAAAAGAAATGAGAACATTGTATAAACATGCACATTTTCAACTGATAATTTCAAGCAACAAGATATTCTTTTAAATGAAGCATGTCCTGTGATTAGCAAAAAAAAAAAAAATGCCTTTAACAAAGGATAAATCAAATGATCAACAAACATTGAAGATTTAAGGCACTGCTCTGAGTCCTGAGAGAATTCCAAGAGAAATAAGACATCTTTTTGTGCCTTGGCAACATTATTCCATAACATGGGAGAGGGATTCCATTTTCCACAAAGAAATTGGAAAAGAGAGCTAAAGTTTCCAAAGTTTCATTTTAGCAGGCCTCATTCCCTAAACTATATTTTATTAGCATTATTTAAACCTAACTTTATAATATAACATTCTATTACTTATAATTATTATTTTCTAACATAATTACTAGTTATAGTTCTGAATAGAACAGATTTTTAGATTTTCTATTATCAAAACAAAAATTTAAACTATCTATAGAAGTGTGTTATTTTATAAAAATTCAACTCTAAACTTTTACCCAAATTTAATAGTTTAAATTATTTAGTTATTTTTATTTATATGTTAGGGTAGCACAAATATCTAGGCTTTAAAGGAATGAGTCTAGCCCTGGCTGGTGTGGCTCAGTCCATTGAGCACTGGTCTACAAACCAAAGGGTTGCCAGTTTGATTCCCAGTCAGGGCACATGCCTGGGTTTTCTGGCCAGGTCCCCAGTAGGGGGCGCACAAGAGGCAACCACAAATTGATGCTTCCCTGCTTCTCTTTCTCCCTCCTTTCACCTGTTTAAAAATAGATAAAATCTTTTTAAAAAGAAAATACTCATTATTATTAAAAAAGGATGAATCTATAAATATGGATGCCTGCCTCCAAATTAGCAAAATAATAGAAAATCTCATATATCTCATTTTCTTTTGAGTTAAATATCCAAGTGGCAAACAAGTTATTTAAGGTTTGTAAGTTCTCCATATTTCAGATGAGAAATCAGATGTGTATGAAAACAGCTACTTCTCAGAAATTCCATAACTCACCGGTAACTTTCAATGTCAGAACAACATACTTTAAACACAAAATAAGAAAGAGCTGAAATTGCAGGATGAAGCTAGAAAACCAAGCAGCCACTTCTATCCATTTATGCTAGAGTTATATCTTGTTTACTTTTTATCAAGCTAACATTTTTAAGAGAAATTCTCCTGAACACTCTGCATGTGGAGTTAAAAGAAATGAAGCAAATATTTGGCATAATGACAATTCCCGAGCAACTCAATAATATTGTTTTACCTACCAATTCTATTCCTATTTGTCAAACTAGCTCCCATTAACTATCAAGTGTACCATTCCTTTACACTAGACAGAAATGGAAAAAAGCAAACAGGACTCGGTCATCAGCAGGATGCAAGGGAACACTGCACAGTTAGCAGAGGGTGGGGATGTATCCATCTGCCAGTACACAGCGAGCATCTGCTATGTGCCCCACACCATGCTGGGCCCTAAAGACACAGAGGTGCTCTCCATCAGCTCAGAGCTGGAGAGCAAACGCATGTATACACACCTGGTGCTGTCAAAGTGGATTACACAAAGTGCTTTTGTAGGGGGGAGGGAGGAGGGTCAGAGCGAGGCAGTCAGGAAGCTTCTGAGGAGGTGACATAAGAGCCAAGCCTTGAAGGATAAAGAAGGACTTCTCGGGAAATGGAAAATGGGTAGAAGTACCTTTTGGACAGATTGAGGAGTATGAGCAAAGCCCCCGAAAGCCCCATGATCATCTGTGTTGGGAAGATCTCATATCATATCCAATGTTTAGAAGATGAGAAAGAGGAAGACCAGTGGTACAGCCAAAGCCTGGGGGTGCTTAACTGAAAAACAAGAGACTGGCCTTCAACCTGAGTTCTAAATGATGGCTCACAGGGTGACCTTAATTCTGTCCCTGTGCTCCTAAAGCTACCAACTCCAGAAATCAATCAGAAATGAGTAGGAAAGAATAGATATTGCCTACCTCTTCCCAAGGCAGGCAAAGTCTTTGCCCCCAACATACTGCACATCCCTTCTGCCAACTCCCATTGGTGTTCATTAAAGAATCTTGAGACCAGGTGACAAAAAGTATTTGAAAGTTATTCAAGAAACTACCTGTCCCTCCCTACCTTGCTTTCGAATGGTTATGGTTACAGGGACGCCAGAACCACTTGATTGTAGGTTGAGGAATACCGTAAATGGTACAAGTCAGGATTTGTCTGCTGCCCAGTGGGTAGAGAATAGGTTCTGGGAACGATGACACAGCTTTCTCGTAAATCTGGGGTTTCACTGGAAAGAAGATGAAGACAGGACAGAAGTCAGGAGCTGTTCTAATGACTTGTGCTCCTGGGCCACAGCAGTAAGGACCATATTATCACTGGTTCCGATGTTAGGGAAACACACACATGAACAAAAAACAAATAAGCGCTCATACCTGTCATTATAATGCCAACTTTTTAAAAAGTAAAAATGTTTGGAGAACATTAACAATTGATCCTATGGCAGGTATGATTATAATGATGCAAAGCTACATCACTTATGGAAAATAACAAGTAGACATGAAATACTTATGATGAGACATAAGTGGTTTTTAAAATAATTATTTACAAATTGTTTTCTCTGATATTGTTATACTGATTTTTGATTTATAAATTTTCATTATTTTTACCTATACCAGAATCAGGAGAAAGCCTGAACAGTAAACTTACCATTTACGAGTAGAGTGGCCGTGAGGTTTTTAACCACATTAGACTGCTTTATGCTCAGCAAAATTGTGTAATTCCCTGCATCTTCAACAGCTACATCTTTAATAATTAACGAATAGCCACGAACCAAATAGTGAGCAGATTTCTCCGTCACAGGTAACCCATCTTTTAGCCTGTGGTTAAGCACATGATCAGTAAGTCACTTCACACTGCCTCTCAGATAGCATTTTGACACTACCACTTACGTTCATAAACTCAAATTTATGCCTTTTAAGCCTTTGATCCTCAGCATTCATTCACAAAAACTTAGACACTAACTTTTCAGTACAGCCAGGTATGATTTTTAGACTGTGGTATGCTTTGTAATTCTTGGCAAAAAGGAAGGAATAAGCTGAAGGGAGACAGAGAAGTGATGGTTCCATGTACCCTTGGGTGTTCTGGCCGCCACTGTGACTTAAGCAGTAACGCAGAGGCACTGGCTGATTCCCTCCGAGATGTTTTCCAGAGTTTTCCATGAGGCTCCACCAGCAACAGAAGGGCCATTGTAAGTCAGATCAACTAGATCACTTCTCCAGATAAAAATAAAAATAGACTTTCCTATTGTGATCTCATGTGGAGTTCTTATTAGCTATATAAATGGTCACAGCAGTTGTCCCTTTTAAAAATGAGTGAAATCAAGATTATCGAGATTTTTCCCAAGGAAGAATAGTTAAAGCACAAAACTCACAAACAAAAGGTATAAACTTAAAAAATGTTTTTAACTGCAAATATAGAAGTGATGCCTAGATATCATACAGCTGCTTACAGTACTGAGAATTGATCAGGAGGCCTGAGTGCTGGGCCTGGCTGGGCCACTGCATGCTGTGCACCTGACTTGTCCATGTGAGCCTCAGTTTCTCAAGTTTTCCATAGAAATAGTAAAATAGTATATATAGTTTTTCTATATAAAATAGTAAAATTTCATTAAACTGCACAGTTTTTGAAATGAGCAATTTACACTCTGTTAGGAGTTCACTGTGTTCTGTATAAAGGTATATAATATTGCAAGTGGTATTACTTCATATGCATGCATGTAGTACACAGTCCTGCAACCCAATTCCCATTACTGATGGGTCTCAGTTCCAAAGCATTTAAACAACAAGTCAGTATTTTTAAAAATGGATTAATATTTTGTTTTATTTTAGGTCTTGCTACTTAGTGACTATAGAAATTAGTGCTGTTTAATGGATGGGGATACTCTCAGCCTCAGAAAGAGGGAACATACCTCCAGAAGAGATTAAATGCCAGTTAAGGAATAATGTACGCTAATAGGGAATTCACTATTAAACTCCACTATTATGAAATTCCCCTGAAAATCTCTCTTGTACTGCAATAGCATGAAGAGCCCTAGCACAAATTTAATTTTCTGTTTAATTACCTATTAACTATTCGAGGAAATGGAAAGCAAGCACAAGGCTCATATGACAGCGAAAGCAAAGTAAGCTCTGGTCAAGGAGATTCTAAAATGGCACCACTTCTATATTACATGGGTTGTTTTCCTAATCAGCTTTGTGCTGAACTCTTTGTTTAAAATGTAATAGTTAGAGCCAAGGATACTGGCATTCAAAAGCGCTTTAAAAATGACTGCAGATTATAAACGGATTACATTGTTTCAAATCAGGTGTTGTGCAAGCATAAAAAAACTGCTTAAGAGGTTTCTGAATATGTAAATTTTGAGCCAAGACAAACACACAATTAGTTCAAGTAGGTGCATTTGTCCATCCCTGCAACTGAATTAAGTCTTGTCCCTATTAATGTTTGTTTAATTTTACAACAAGACTGGAATTTTCATCCCAGTTGTATATAAAAGAATTATTTTCAGATAATAAAAGAATTACTATCCTTGTCACAAGGGCTACTTCTTCAGGGTTAATAGAGCATGTTATTTCTTCAGGAGGCTTCCTGGTCATTGCCCAACATGTTCCATTCAGAGGATGTTGACATCTTAGGAAGGTTTAGAGATGCAGAAATTTCATCCGAGTGCATGAAGGACTAGACTGAAATGAGCACTCAAACACCCTCGTCCCCACTCCATCCTGACACAGTGCTGCTCCTCCCTGCAGCCCGTCCTGCCCACTCCACTCCCAGTCCAGACTCAGTGCGGTTCTTGGCTCTCCACTGCTGTCTGAGAACTTATCTTGATTATCTTCAGGAATTCAAGCCAGTGAGCTCCTGCATCTTCAGATTTACAAAGCTTATCATGAAAGGATAGGAAAATAATTTTGATCCTACCATGCCACTTCTGGTGCGGGAAATGCCTTCACTTGCATAGACAGCCGGTAAGACTTCTTGCCAGCTACAGTTTCAAGCACCTGCTGTTTTCGATGATTCACAGTGATGAATGCTTTGTCTTGGAAAGGAGAAGTGGTCGATGTATTAAAACAAAAATAAAAAACCCCTCAATTCCCCCTGCCATTAAAGGAGGGTGCAACCAATGAGTAAATAAGCAGAGCTGAATTATCAATGAGTCCAAACAGTGATGAATGAGTAAAATAATTTCAAAGTGCCCTAACCGGTAAAAAACCTTCAAACTAAATGGTTGCAAGTCCCAGAAGCACAGAAGCAGTGTGGGCCAATAGAGGCTGAAGCACCATGTCTACAGCACAATAACAAAAAAGTAGAAAGAGACTTCTTAAAATCTCTCAGGCCAAATGAGTATGCTGAGAGAAAGTGGCTCCAGGCACCATAAAACAACTAACTCGATATAAAGATCAACTGGAGAACATCAAAACAGTATCAAAGGCATTGACAGAATTGTTCCCTGGTTTTTGCACCTCACACTGTTTTTCTTTTCAACAGTGAAAAGGGATAGGTAAGGTTTTTGAGGTTTCTAGAGAGGGTTAAGTATTTTTGTAACAGAATTTGCCTTTTGGAATTAAGCAACAGTATTAGGATTTCATGCGAGTAAAACCAGTGATGAAAGAGCATTAATTCTAAATAATTTATCACAGCATATTTTTATTTCTCTAAGTCAGAGTAATACCTTCGAAACTTTCCCTTGAAAATAAGGGTAAAAATGATCCTATTTTTCCATTTTGTTTAAAAAGAACACTAAACAAAGGATTTCATATAGATTTTAATATGACCTGAGTTGTTATTAACTACAATAAATTTGTAAGGAAAAGATTCTCTGTTCAATTCTAAACTATTCAATTTAAAGAGCACTTAATGTGATTTGCTTTTTGGCAGGGGGTGGAGTGGGACAACATTGCTTTCATTTCTGCAGTGTTCCTTTGACCAAAAGAAAGTTTACTTGGTTTATTGAATGCCCCCACCCTCCCCAAGACCACAGTGACTATAAAACAGAGCTAGAATTGCTTACCATGTACACGCACTGAGGTGTTAACAGATTTGAAGGATGGGCCACTCTTCACATTACAGGTATAAATGCCTTTGTCTTTGCTCTGCACTTGGTTAATAGTAAGAACACTGTAGAATATATTATGGGCATGGGAATTGCTGTGGTCAAATCGTTGCCTTATAGAGGCACTCTTATTTTTCTAGAAAGAAAATGTATAACAAATGTAGAGGTAGTAATTGTTCACAATTAAAGTGATAGAGCTTCATGGATTATTACTGAGATCAACATTTGATGCTGAGAAGCAAACCCACCTGGAGCAAGAGGTTTGAAAATTATGTCTCTGTCTGGACATTTCAGATACGTGCCATGGTGGTATTTTTGAGCACTTCCTCTTCTTCAGCTGTATTTTCACATACATTGTCTCAACCATTCCTCACCACTACCCAGTCAGATTGGCAGGATTTTTGTCCTTTTACAGATGGACACTGAAGTTGTCAGAGACACCAGCCAAAGTAGGAAGAACTAGTCTTTGGAGCAGACATCTAGAGTCTTCTCTCCAGCACACACATTTCTCTGAACAGTAACATGTTTTCTAGGCACACACCTCACACACAAATGCAGGCAAAAATCCTCTTTAACATCCAGCTTAATGGCAGTATTTCTCTTACTAAATCACCATGTGAGCTTTCTTCTGCTTCCTTACTTGAATTGAAGGAAAAGGTAGTGAGTCCCGGCCACGCCTACTAAGGTGTAACAGTCCCAGTTTCATTATTTCACCATTTGAGCCATGCTTGCCAATTTCTGCTAAATCACACTGTATGGATCTGGGGACATGCAAAGCTGTCGACATGGTTAGCCACCACCTTGGGGGTGCTGTCTTGTGTTTGCTTCTGGGAAGACCTGGAGCAGGCCTCAGGGTCTGCCCTGTTAGCTGGCCACAATGACCACTCCTGGGTTTGAGAAGATGAAGTCACATTGCCTTTTCTTTTCATTGTCCCTTCCTCATTTTTATTTTTAAGCATTATATTTTATAGCACATAATATGTTATTTCCTGCTGTCCATTCTTCCTCATGAGGGGGCATGGGAAAAAAAGACTGGAAACTGTCCAGAACTTCGAGTCTTGAACTTCTCTCCTATGCACCATGTTTAATAACTTCTGCCCACCTGTCCTATTGTTGCCTTCTTGGGACAGACACACTTTTAGGACATGTTCTTCCTTCTCAGCAGTAGCCAAGGAGAAAATGTCAATCTCCGCCATCAAAAATCAGATACTCAGTCCCCTAAAATAACAGACTAAGGGACTTTCAGCAACTTATAGAGGTGCTACTTCCCCTTCTCCCTTTGAGAATGCTTTCCTTTCCAAGTTTGAGTAACACTGATATTGTTTCAGCCTTGGAAAACAACTGATCCTGTGTTTTAGAACTGAGTTATCCCGTACTGTAGCCACCAGCCACAGGTGGCTATTTAAGTTAAAAGTAAACAAAGTTAAAAATTCTCTTCCTCAGTCACACTAGCCACATTCCGAGTGCTCATTAGCCATATGTGACTGGGGGTTACTATAGTAGGCAGCAGTGATATAGAATATTTCTCTCACAGAAAGTTCTATTGGACAATACCATGTTAGAAGGTTATTGGCTTTTAGTAGATGTATTATTGTACTCTCACTTAAGAGTAGCAACGTTAACAAGATGAAAGTTCCTACCCTCTTGGTACTTATTGAAAATAGTTAATTGATTGAGAATATTTACTTTTCTCAAGTCATAGCATTTCTATTTAAATGAAACAATACCACTTTCTAGAAAGTACTTTGACTGATGAGTCCTTAATGTGTCCCAGGCACTTGTGACACCTTTTCATTGCCAAGTTATTCAATTTTCATGGCAAGAAATGTTGATGAAGAACAATAGCTTGGGGCTCATGCATGAAACTTTCCTACATAATTTAATCATAAGTGAACTTGGTGACTGGGCAATTGGAATGACATAACAGATGACTGTACTTGCGATGTGTCACATAAATCATACTGACACACAAGAGAAGGGGGAGGGGTGTGCTGTCAAACATTTCCAAACAGTTTATCATAGGTTCCTCATCTACACAGTTTTAAAATAATTACTGTTTGCAAGGATGTTTAATATGTATAAGGGAACCCAAGTCAGTCTTCATTCTTCTTATTTTTCTGAAGGACAGAATTGCTCCTTTGTCACTTAACAAATGAAACGCTGGATGGCTGGGTTGTATTATCTTTTCCAAACATGCTCCAATCAGGTGCCTGACTGTCTGCCAGTATCTCAAATTAATGCGCTGACAACTTTTTGTTGTTGCTGTTACAAAAGATAGTCCCTGCCTGGCATTAGTGATAAATTTCTCTCGTCTCTAAATCCTGGAGAATGGTTTCCAAGGATGAAACAATCCCTTTTTCCACCCAGAATCATGCAATAGAAATACCAGTCTATATACTTCAAAATGAAACCTCCAGACATCAAAAGACCATATCTATGTATATCAGACTCACGAAATGCTAAGCAAGGAAAGCACCCAAACCAAACTCAAACCTTCTTCATGAACTCACACTGCCATAGAAGTTCAGAACATTCTGGTTTTTCCCACTGCAAAACACAGTGGCATTTCATTAAAGTAGAAATACTATCTTACAGAAGAAATAGAAAAATTGGTCACTCACTTTACCAGGGTAACTCCAGGTCATGTGAACTCTTGCATTCAAGGCAGTGGTGGCAGTACAGTTGAGGGTGAGAGTATGGCCTCTAAGTAACTTGACGGGGCTTGGTGTGCTCATTTGGACATCAAAGATTACATGGCCTACAAGCATAAGAAATAGTATTTTTTAAAATCATGGTTTCATTAAGCAGGTTAAACCCTTGAGCATTTTGTTTTATGTTCACGCCTTTGGAATGTCACTTACTTAGTCGATATGTGAGATAGTTTGTCTTGTACAAATGGCTGTTGACTGTTGTTTCGCAGGTCAGAAGCCCTATTTCTTTGTATGTTGCATTTGCGATTATAAAGCCCTTCCTGCTGTCCCAAGTTATTCTTTTTCCATCAGGGATCAGAGTATCAGATGGAAACTGAAAAGGAAGAAACATGCTTTAACAAAATCATATTAACACTGTGGCAATTAGTTTCACTAATAGTTTGTGAAAACATAACTCTCACCTAAAATAAAAATAGCACAGGTACAAAGATCTAGTTTGTTATAAGTGGCTCTTTAGTTTTCTTTGCATGTAGCAAGATATACATTTATTATGGTAGATTAGAGTAATCATGATAATTGACAATAATTGCCTTAACAACAATCTGCCCCCACCTAGGATGGACCAAGTTGTCATGTCAGACATCTGGTGGGAGCCTGTGTCTCTTTGGCCTCTGGGAACCTTTGTAATAAACTGGCCTAATGGCCTGATACTCAATAGAGAAACTGAAAATTAGTATTTTCCCCAAGGGGCTGCCAGGCTATCCTCATGAATGTCTTTATTTGGAGCTGTTAACACATTGTAACTTGTCTTCCTATTTTGCATGATTCACAAAAGAGGTGGCAGTCTTAAAAGGGCTAGAAATCATTCTAGATCCTCCAAGATTCAGAGTATTCTCTGGGTTGTCATTCTGAGAAGGCTGAGGGTACCAAAAGCCTCTGGAGGGGAGCACCTTCCCACCTTGGCCACTGAAGCTGAGGCTGTCAACAGTGAAGACAGCTGCCAACAGGTGCAGAGAGCAAAGGCACTGGGGCGGCGGAGTGCTCTCCAATCCTCAAAGTATTCCCAAGCACAGTAAGTCCAAACAGAAGAAAAGAATCTAGGATCTGACTCTCCCTTATGCCTTCCTCTAAACCCCAAGGACTTCATTTTTGAAGACTACAATGTAAACAGTCCCTTGGAACTGGACATTATAAAGGGTCATTGCTGCCCAGAGGGGCCGGGACAAATCCCCTGGATGCCAGGCTGCCAGCCTAGGTTCAGATGCACTACCTGCCCACTGCCACTAGTGTTTGTCCCGACTTGGAAAAGGAAAAAAATCAGATTACTTTACCATCAGAGACCATAAAAGAAAGGCCAAACTGCATGAAGAAGTTTAAAATCTTTTCTATATTCTTTTAAAAAGTACACCTGACATCACTCTATCCATTCATCATTTGTTTACATTGCTTGTTGAAGAAGCTAATCTGGCTGGCATTTGTGGTTCTGGGGCCAAATTTCTATTCCAGAAGTCACCACTGCCTCTCTCCCAGTGACAATGTGTAAGTGGATATGTGACTATGTTACCTGAGTGTTCCTTGGGTTGTAATGAATTATACCCTGTTCATGAAAAACTGAAAGAGACCAAAGGGCATATTTCATGTTTTAGAAAATCAAGATTCTACCTGTAAACTTAGGAATGCTTTGCATTCAGTGGGGAAAAACAACTTTCTCTTCTGACTTAGTGCAAACTATTAAGGGAAAAATTCAGAAAAATTTAAGTTAGGGATTGAAATCATGGCGCTTAAAAAATATTTGAAAACAGGTAGATTACAGCGGTTGCCATGGTAGGAGAAACTCCCAGTCTCACAAGAGTTCATTGAAATATGCACTAGAGACAAGCAGGCAAACTGTGCTGCTCCCCCTCTGGATCCTCCCCCACAGGCAGTGCCCCAGCTCAGCAAGGAAGTTTGCCCTGCCTGCAGCAAAGGCCCCCCCTTACAACTTATCATGGGCCCCAGGCAAAGAAATAGGGCCACAATGAAAGAACAGAGCAAAACCTCAGAAAGAGAGCTAAGCAATGAGGAGATAGCCAACCTATCTGATGGAGAATTTAAAGTCCTGGTAATCAAAATGCTCACAGAACTGATTGAGCTTGGTCGAAAAATGAAAGAACAAATTAAAGATACCAAAAATAAAATAAAGCAAAATATTCAGGGAACTGACAGTAACAGGAAGGAAGCCAGGACTCAAAGCAACTTTTTGGAATAAAAGGAAGAAATAAACACCCAACCAGAACAGAATGAAGAAACAAGAATTCAAAAAACATGAAGAGAGACTGAGGAATCTCTGGGACAACCTGAAACATTCTAATATCCAAATCACAGGGGTGCCAGAGGGAGAACAACAGCAAGAAATTGAAGAGTTATTTGAACAAATAATAAAGGAGAACTTCCCCAATCTGGCAAAGGAAATAGACTTCCAGGAAGTCCAGGAAGCCCAGAGAGTCCCAAAGAAATTGGACCCAAAGAGGAACACACCAAGGCACATCCTCATTAAGTTACCCAAGATTAAAGACAAAGAGACAATCTTAAAAGCAGCAAGAGGGGAGGAAAGAGTTGTCTACAAAGGAGTGCCCATAAGGCTATCGGCTGATTTCTCAAAAGAAACCTTACAGGCAAGAAGGGGCTGGAAAGAAGTATATGAAGTAATGAAAGGCAAGGTCCTACATCCAAGATTATTCTATCCAGCAAAGCTATTATTTAGAATGGAAGGGCAGATAAATTGCTTCCCAGAGAAGGTAAAGTTAAAGGAGTTCATCATCACCAAGCCCTTATTATATGAAAAGTTAAAGGGACTTATCTAAGAAAAGGAAGATAAAAAATATGAACAGTAAAATGACAACAAACTCACAACTATCAGCAAATGAACCTAAAAAAATAAAAGAAAGAAAAACAAGGAAACCAAAAACTAAGCAAACTAGAACAGGAACAGAATCAGAGGAATGGACATCTCATGGAGGGATTTCAGTGGGGAGGGGGAAGGGAGGAATAGTGGGAAAAAGGTACAGGGAAGAAGAAGCATAATTGGTAGGCATTAAATAAACAGGAAGAGGTAAAAAATGGTATAGGAAACAGAGGACTCAAAGAACGTATATGTACAACCCATGGACATGAACTAAGGTGGGTAGATGCTGGAGGGTTGGGGGATACAGGGTGCAGGGGGGTAAGGGGGGGGAATTGGGAAAACTGTAACAGCACAAAAAAAGAAATAAAAACAATATGTGAAAAGAAGCATGTGCTGAATCTGAAAGACAGGTTTGCTGATGGGCTTCCACAGCACAGTTTAAAACAATAAAATTTCCTCCAAAGTGTTTATGTTGTGCTAATCTAACCATAATTGCTCTGAGTAGGATTTCATTAAGAAGTAACTTTATTTCTGGCTGACAAGAGCTCAAATAGCAAAAGACTACAGGGCTCGAAAGCTGTGACAGTGGTGCCTGCATCATAAACAGGTGGATGATGGACACCTTAGCAGAAGTGCCGACAGGGAGGCCTGTCTGCAACGGCTCTGAGGAAGCACGTATTGGCAAAGGAGAGGGAGGCGCTAGCAAATTGGAAGATAAGGCCCACTAAGGGAAAGATGTTTTATTAATGTCAGTTCATCCTACATATGTTATAGGTTAGGGTATTTTCAATATATATGTGCCAAACCAGAATCCTTAATAGAACTTGATCCTCTCTCTCTCTCATTCTGTTATAGACCTTTAAAAAAATGTTTACACACGGGAATTTAGGAATGTTCCTTGCAATGAATCTGCATTAGGGCAAACAAGCAAGGGGCTTGCCTGAAAAAGAGAAGTTTCATATCCCCAAGGTTTGTTTTATATTCATCATATAGCAATTAACATATCACACTAAGAGGAGTAACACCATGTTATTGAAAACATGACTTGATAATACCCAAGTGTGAGTATTAAATGCTAGATTAAGTAATAAAAATACTGATCCTTGATTAGGACCCTTCTTGCACAAGACATTGTTCTAGTGCCTTCCCTAGATCCCCTCACTTCCTAACGATCCTGTGAGGTGGGTACTGCTGTAATTTCTCCCATCTCCAAAATGAGGAAAGTGAGGAAACTTGCCAGTTTGCCCAGCAGGTAAGTGTTGGGTGGTAAGAAGTCATGTGGTAAGAAGTCACGTGGGGAGGCCTGGGCCACCACAGTGGGCTTCCTCCCATGCAAACTGGACAATTCCAGAAGGGTGGTGGGAGCACTGAAGGAGCAGACAGGACATGGGCCCTTACTTCCAGGAACCTCAGGCTTTTCTTCCATTCTGTGTAGAAGTTAGACTCCTCTGCTGTTTCCACTGGGACATACAAGGCTTTTTTATTTCTTGGCAATGATACACAGATGTAATAGAAGCCCAAACCTGTCTCCGATGGGCTGCATTGAGGACTTAAATTAACAATATGAAAGAGTGAATGCAAAGGAAGAAGACAGGGAGACACCCCCATCACATTTCGGTACTCAGGATCCATAGGTGTTACTGGAAATCACTCTAAACTCCTACTGATCACCACCACCACTGCACCACACACATCCAGAGTTGCTGCTTTGTGGTGGACAGCCTTAACTTTTCCTCTTAAAACTCTGAGCTCTCAGTATTCAGTAGTTTTTCATTTTAGGAGCTTTTATCCAATTCTTAGTATTAGTGTACTCCTGAACTCCTACTGCTGGTGAATTAGCAGGGCTGTACAAAAGCTCTAACTTTTGTTTTTATTAAATTCTAGCCTAAATCTTTTCCTTCTCTTCACGCACAATTTACAACATAATAGGAAGAAACATCTCATTTATAACATTCTTTCCCTTTTTTCCCTCCTAAGAGGCTAAGTTTGGATGCCCAGCAGGAGAAAAGCCTTTTGTTACCAGGAACTCCCCAACTCCACCAAGGACGGGAGCGTGGAGAATCACCCGCCCGGCAGTTCTGTCTTTAGCAACAATCTGATCAACCACTCTGCCAAGTTACTAATTTGTGTAAGCAGTAGAATTGCTCTTTCTCACACCGGCAAATACTTGGATATGTGGCAAATACAAAACCTTTCATGGTTTTAGTTCTTCCATTATTCACATAGATTTATGCTTAAGACATTATCATTTTATTCATTTAGATACATGCACAGGTATAACTTCTAGCTCTTATGCTTTATACTAAAAGGATGTTATTAAAAGCCCACCAGGGAGCCCAAGTGTCTATAAGAGAAGTATTCTACAGATATAAAATATCAAAAAATTCATTATGCTGATTTTCAGTAAAAATCTTCTGAGAATAGCATCGCTCAGCTTTACCTTTTTTAAAGTGACAGTGATGTTGGGTGATGTGACTCGGCAGGGAATGACGAGCCCCCGTCCTTCAGTCATGTATATCGTTTCAGGTATTTCACTGTGCATCTCCAAGAAAGGTCTACTTGTATCTGAATGAGAAGAAAACAGAGAAATGTACACATATATAAGTGATCATACTGCAAACATCTAGAGCTTGTAGCTGGTGAGGCAATATGGACACAACCATAGTACATCATGCCCCTAATGTAACCTGCAAGTTCACGTCTTTGTTCCTGAAGCTGGCTCTCTGTGGTTCTGCCCAGAAAAAGAATGCTTCTCTAATAAATTGAATTACTTTTTTTCAGGAGTTGGCCTTCCATTAGCTTGACTTGATGGCTTGATATGCAATTGTGACATGAGGAGGGAGGGGGTTGTTTAGACCACTGTGAGGAAAAGCCATAAAAATGCAAATTAGAGAGAAAAGACACTATTCTGCATAAACTTCTCACCACAGCTATGCTAAGTGCCTCAGGAAGCCCCTCCAGAGCCTTTGTGAGAAGTCAAAGGAAGGTACTACTATCAGATGTCTTTGGAGCACACGATGACACAGATAGAGGCGATGGAAAGGTGTCAAGTTGAAAAGGGGATTAGCATTTGAATGACCAAAGCTTGACTTAAAGGTTTTTTAAACCTTTCCCTGCAGCCTAACAATGAATTTGCAGGTCTGAGCTACTTAGGGTGTGGGGGAGAGGCTGGAGAAGCTGTGGTGAATACTGTATTGATTCCATACGAGTAGTAGGTCTTTTTCTTTAGTGTGCACCAGTTCTGTACTTGGTCATATTTTCTAACAGAAAATACCAGCAAGTGCATGCAAAGAGGTCAGAAAAAGTCTTTAAATCGTCACCCTTTAAAGGATGGCATTTGGCCAGTCTCAGAGGTCATTAGGAGTAAAGACACCTGTTCAGCTTCGCTTTAGTTCCTCTGGGGAAAAGGATGAGCATCAGATCTTATTAGAAACATCCTCATATGTACCATGACCTTGCCCTCGGTAATCCATTGACAGTGCTCTCTCAGGAGTTACTATGTTCCCATCTTCTCCTCTTGGTTTCAGCCTGAGATGCCCAGATGGAAAAAAATCCTATGTTAACTCTCTCCATCTGGACCTGAAAGAATTAATTAGGCCCTCCTCACCTGCTTGCTGGAGTGGAAGAAGCTCATTCTGGATGCTGAGTGGAGAATGAATTGGAGAAACAAGAATGGTGAGTAGACAATGGTTACCTAGACCCAGTGGTAGCTCCAGAGATTGTTATGGGTTGAACTGTGTTCCCTCCCAAAATGATAGTTTTAAGTCCTAACCCCTAGCACTTCGGCATGTGACCTCATTTGGGACAAACAGGATCATTGCCTATGCAATTACTTCAGTCACGTAAGGTGGGCCCCTGGTCCAATATGACTGGTGTCCTAATAAAAAGTTGGCCATTTGAAGACAGACATACAGGGGATAATGCCATGTGAAGCTTTAGATCCAGGAATGCCAAGCACAGCCAGTTCCCACCAGAAGTTCTGAAGAGGCAGGAAGGATGTTCCCCTTCAGGTTTCAGGGGAACACGCCCCTGCTGACACCTTGATTTTGACCTCTAGTTTCTAGAATGTGAAACAATAAATTCCTGTAGTTTTAAGCCAAAAAAGGAAAAAAGTGCCACTGTGACATTGTTGTAGCCTGCTGAGGGTGGGATGGTTTAAAACACACTAGAGAGGGCCCTCGAGATACCCTACCACCACAGACCAGCTTGTTTGTCGCTACATCCTACATCATTCGTGCTTGTCCTCTGGGAAACCTGGCAGGCCATCCCCTTCCTTGGACCCTCTCTGCCCCAGCTGAGGGGCCTTCACAACACCCCCAGCATTCTCTCATCACAACAATACACTGACAGTGAATTGGCAGCTCACTTCTGTGGCTACATATTGGGTGATGAATTCCTACAGGAGAGGAAATAGAGGACAAACTGCCCCAAAGTGTGTTAAATGAATGAATGAGTGGGCCAATAAGTGAATGAAGGGCTGTCCAACGCCATCATTTTATCGATGAGAAAACAGAGGTGTAAACAGATGAAATGAGTTGTGAGCAGAGCTAGGCCTGGAGGCCAGCTTCTCCTTCAGCAGCAATCTCCAGCCTTCTCCCGAGGGAGGGCTCCCCCGCAGGAAGGGATGCAGGAAGGGATGCAGGAAGGGATGCAGGAAGGGATGTAGGTGGCGACTGTTTTTCAGAGATGGGGCTGATTTCCCCACTAACCCTTTCCCCTGAAAGGAGCATGTCATACTATCTAGAGTTAGAGAAATTCTGAGAAGAGGATGATCAGCAGGAGGCAGGGCTGGACTGCAGCTTTGGGGCAGGCCCATGCAGAGGTGGAGAGTCAGGGGGAGGCAGACAGACCACTGTGTTTCAGAGCACATGCTTTACAGTCTGGTCTGAACCCTCGTTCTGCCCCTTCCTAGTCGTGAGACCTTGAGCAAATCATTTTGCCCTCTGTGCCTCGCTCATAATATCTTCTTCAAAGTGTTATAATGAGGCTTATGTGAATTAATATATGCAAAGTGCTTAGAATGGTGCCTGGCAGGTAGTCAGTACCATATATGTGTTAGCTGTTACTTTTCTTCTATTATGAGAAATTTGAACTTATGTGCAGAGGGGGTTAGATTACATGAAAATCGCAAATTATACTGGTGATCTTAACTATTAAAAGCAAAAATATATATTCATATAATGGCACCAAAAAACCCCCAAAATGTACACACTAAAGTGTTAATGATTATCTTTGAGTAGTGGCTTCATGGGTTATTTTCTCATTTACCTTCTTCTGTATTTGCCAGATTTTCTAGAAATTATGTATTATTTTATAAAAACATGTTCAATTATTGGATTTAAGTCTCAAATTATAAAGCACCATCCATTTTTACTTGAGGAACACTATAAAATTTGCATTTGGTTTACTTTAGTTTTGTCCAATATACTAGAATGAGACATTAAGTATCATAGCTAACAGTTACATGCCTGTTAGGAAAGCTTAATGTGTGAAGTAGCATATGCAGAGAGGAAAAGTTAATTATACAGGGACAAAAATTCATTATCAACACAAAATTACTCCCCTTAACAAAGTTGCTTAGCTAGTCATTTGGGCAGAGACTATCGGGATTTGATCATTTTTTTCCTTCCCCCTGTGAGTCTATATTGTTGTTTCCTTTTGTTAGTTGCAAGGTACACACAAACACCAGGAAATGGTTTAATTCATGTTACTAAACTGTAAGTGAGTCACATTTAATTTACTGTCTCCTTAAGCAACCATTTTTTGACCAAGGACACTGGCATTGAATTTCCTGCAAGAAATAGTAAACATCAGTGTAGTCATTTCTAGGCTAACGAATGCCAATCCTAAATGAAAACAGAAGCAGTTCATTCAAAGGGCCTTTGGATTTCTTCTTTCCCTTTGCCACTTTGGATCCCCCAAAGTCTTGAATTTTATTACAGTTATTGGCCTTTAAAAATCAATACCAATTTCAGCACTGGGCCCACTGTAACTCTGTTCAAAGGTGTCAGAACTTCAACGAGCTGTACCCATCCTAATATAATTCAAAACACATCATTTGTATCCTATATAGTGGCATTATAAGCCATTTGCAAGTGAGTTCATGGTTATAGACACCTGTATATACATACTCACAAACCATATTCTCTGGGCTTAATAGTATATTTCCTTTGCAGTTTACTTCAAGGGAGGGCTAGGAATGAATGTGCCTGGCATACTGAGTACAAACATTTTGTGTTTGCAGGACCATAGACACAGAGGGGGTCATGGTTCCATTAATATCACCCGTGAATCCACTTTTTACTCCCATAGAATACAGTTATCTTTGTCACAAAATTAAAAATGAATTCCAAACCCAGCCACCACTGCAGAGTGGTTTCCTGACACCAAGCTGGCTAGTTATTGAAAGAGTGAAGAAGAACTTCCCCAAAGATTGCCAGTGTCCCAGTGATGCAGACACATTGTCACCAGGGACCCATGCCAACACACAGCTAGGTAGAGGCCATGCCGCCCTCCCCTCTCTGAACTCGTGGAGCTCAAAGCAGAGACAGGAAACTGGCACAGAATATGAGGTTTTCTCATGCAATGAGAGTATCTGGGCTCTCATTCCTCAAAACAAGTGGACTCAGACCAGGAAAACATCCAACAGGAACCCTTGCTCAGGAGGGCATTACATCTATTTTTTTTATGCTTTCTTTCTTCCTTTTGAAGCCTGTAATCACTGTGGCCAGGAGGGCACACAGACAGAGGTCCCAGTGTGCCATCCTCATTCCGCTCCATCTCCCACTGGCCTCACATGGTAGTTCTACTGGGCTCAGACCAGGTGATAACCCAGAGAGCTCCGGGAGCTTTTCTGACTTCAGGGGTTCAAAAGTGAGTATCTTGTTTCCTAGCACTTGTTTATTCCTGATTTCTTTTTCCTTTAATTTCATTTTCCTTACCTTTAGTCACTGTCATGAGGACTCCTAGTTATTTTAAAAGAGGATGTGATTTAAATTTATTGAGGATGAAATGAAGAGGACAAAGAACTAATTCAATCCCATGAACAGAGTTCCATCCATGCTCAGGAGTCTTCATATCATGCAGGCCCTTGTGTTGTGAACCACGTCCAGTGCCCCAGGAGAGTCTGCTGACTGGTGAAGTATTTCATTTGAAATGTGAGTCAAAGAAGAGGAAAAGAGGCAATTTCTTCACTGACTTACCCTGCCCCTCAAAACCTTTGAGAATTCAAAACAGGGCTTTGGAGCAGCTATAGGAAAGCTGTAGTAGTTACACTAATATCAGAGAAGATAGACTTTAAAAGTAGAAATGTTACTAGATATAAAGAGGGACATTTTATAATAACAATAGAGTCGATCAACCAGGAAGATATAATTATAAATACATATTCAGCTAACAACAGAGCACCAAAATACATGAAACTAAATGGACAGAAATAGACAATTCAATGATATTAGAAGACTTTAGTATCCCACATCCCTTTCAGTAATGTATAAAACATCTACACAGATTGAAATGGAAGTAGAGAACTCCAACAACACTAATAACCACCTAGACCTAACTGA